CGTGTCGCGAGGCGTCGTGGTTGGCGGCGCTGCTGTCGTCCTCGTCGTCGTCGTCGTCGTTGTTGTGGAAGCGCGCGTCCATTTCGCCCCTCTTGTGTTTGCGACACCTGTCGATGTGGTCCTTCAATTGGATCCTCACGTGACGCTCCGTCGGCTGGTCTCTGATGAACGGGTGTTTCAACAGTTGGTCGGTGTAGGGGCGCTGCTGGTAGTCCTTCACGAGCACCGTCTCGATGAACGACTGGAACTTCTTGCACCACTTCTTCGACTTGAGACGCGGCGGCGGATTGCGCGGAATGAGGAACAGCGCGCGCATCGGGTGCAGGTCGCAGAGGGGGGGCGTGTTCTCCGCCATCTCCAGCGCCGTGATCCCCAGCGACCACAAGTCCGAGCGGTTGTCGTACGTGGCGTCCGGGTTCTCGTCGCACGCGATCACTTCGGGCGCCATCCAATACGGCGTCCCGATGAACGTGTTTCTCCTGCCGATGGTTCTGTCCAATTGGGCCGACACGCCGAAGTCCACCAGCTTCACCTCCGCGTTGTCCGTCAGCAACACGTTCTGACCCTTGATGTCGCGGTGGATGATCTTGTTGGCGTGCAGATGACTCAAGCCCTGCGGGAGAGTCACGTGAGAGAATGACGTCATGGTATGTGCAGAGCTTACCCTCAAGATTTCGCGACAAATATAAGCGATCCATTCCTCGCGCAGAGACTGGCCTTTCGTGGCTGTGGAGGACGAAAGTGATTATCAGTGTCGTGGTTGTCGTGGAAACTCACATTTGACCAGATCGGTGACCGAACCCGCGCCGCAGTACTCCATGACCAGCTGTCGGGAGAGAGAGAGAGAGTGAATGGGGGAGTGGAGGGGGAGAGCGACGAACCCATAGCTTGTCGTCCTTTCCGGGCGGACTCTTGTGAATGAAGGCGCCGTAATAGGTGGCGATGTTGCGGTGGTGCGAGTACTTCTTCAGCACGTTGATCTCCAGCTTGATCTCTTCCTCCTCGTCCTGCAACACAATCACAACTCAGACAATGGCAACTCTCGCGCGACACAAACCTCCGTCACGTCCATGATCTTAATGGCGGCCAACTGTCCGGTCTTCGTGTGTCTTCCCTGCGAATAGTAAGTGGGGGTGAGAGGGGGCGGAGGGGGCGGCAACACTCACCTTGTACACCTGGCCGTACGTGCCATTGCCCACCACTTCGATGAGCTCGAAGATGCCAGCCGGGTCCTGCGGGGATCAAGGCGTCAGTGGTGGCCACAACAGCACTCCCGCACTCACCTTCAGGGCGTTGAGGTCGATGTCGTCGAGACTGCAGTTCGTGGACACTGTGGTCAACGCCATCGCAGCCAAAGTCAATCCAATGGAGTCCGAGTTAACACACCCTTCGCTCTGCGCACGCGCTCCGCTCACTCACAGGTCGTCAACCCTTCGCGCAGTCAATGAACGCAAACTCCAAAACAACATTTTATTGATCGCTAGTGACGTCACAACAACTCTGCGCTCAACAACTCTTCGGGAATGAGACGCGCGCTCTCGGCGTCCACCAACCAATACACGGCGGGAGGCGTCACTCGCGCTGCGGGCAGAGACTGGTCGTTGTCCACCAGAACGCGGCGCAACACTTCGGCCTTCGCGGCGCCCGAACACAAGAAGACCACGCATTTGGACGCATTCACCAAAGACAACGTCATCGTCACGCGCGACGGCGGCGGCTGAGGGGAGAGAAAGGTGTGAGCGATGACGTCAGAGACACGTGACACTCACTTTGGGCGAATCCGTGATGGCAGCGATCCATTTCTCCTTCTCCTCTAAGAGCGCGTGGTTCGGGAAGAGAGAGCACGTGTGGCCGTCCGGACCCATCCCCAGCAGGAGGAGGTCCGGCGTCTCGGCGCCCAACACCGCTCTCACGCGCCGCTCGTAGTCTTTGGCCGCGTCTTCAGCCGCCAGCGAGTGGTCGACGGCGAGGAACTGGTCGGCGGACAACTCGGGAATGAGCGGCAGAACAGTGGAGCGATAGACGCCGAACGTGTTCTCCGGGTCGTCGACCGGCACCAGACGCTCGTCGCACAGCAAGAGTCGCCATTTGCGCCATTCGGTGACCATTTGGGGCAAAGCGCGCGCCAACACCTGCGGAACGCTTCCTCCCGAGACGCCGACGCAGAAGAGGTCGTCTTTGGATTCGGCAAAACAGCGGTTCACGATTTGCGCCAAAACTTGAGCCGAATTTTCGGTTTTAATTATCTTTCGATTCATTTTGAAATAAAAATCAATTTTCCTCCAAATTGTCCATAAATTACGTCAACTCTTGACTGCAAATCAATTAGGGAAATAACACCCGCCCGGTGTCACGTGAGAAAATGGGCATTTATCGGGCGCTATAACTGACTTTTGTTTCAGCGCATGAGTCAATCAGTGTCTGTACGATAGCCGAGAAGGCTATGCTGGGAGAGGGACTAGCGTTAACAGTGCTATTTTCGACCGGTGCTTCCATCTCGTGGGTGTTTTTTTGAAGGCGGGTGCCGGGCGGACGCCCAGAGGGCGGGCGCCCGCGAAGGCGCCTATAGGAATAAACGCCATATTTATATTCCCTAAAATCAATAATGAGATTAAAGACGAGAATTGTTTCCATTTTACTCTTTTGTTGTCTTTTGTCGGCTTTTATGGTCTTTTATTTCGTCGTCTTTTTCGACGATTTTCAAGTAATTCTTCACTTCTTCG